CATCATTAGCAACATCAATTGATCTGTAGCATCTCACTTGCAAGCCAATTCTTTGCCCAATTAAGAGTACGCGATGAAAGCCCCCACCCAGCAAGCATCATGAGCATCATCCGGGTGATGGCTTCCCCGTCCTCTTCTTTCACTTCAAACCGAAGTTCTTTCCCAATCACGAGGGCCGCACCAGTAGCATCATAATTAGCAAAGCTCACCTTGCAAGCTATTCTTGCCCATTCACAAGATACGCGCTAAGCCCACCCCGGATCAAGCATCAGGAGCATCCTCCGGTGATAGCTTCCCGCCTCTCTTACACTTGCAACCGAAGTTCTTCCCACTCACGAGGCACGCACCATTAGCCTCAATCATTAGCACATCTCACTTGCCAGCTAAAAAAAAAAAAAATTCTTTGCCAATTCACAAGAGTACGCGATGAAAGCCCCCACCCAGGAGCAAGCATCATGAGCATCATCCGGGTGATAGCTTCCCCGTCCTCTTCTTGCACTTGCAACCGAAGTTCTTCCCCAATCACGAGGCACGCACCATTAGCATCATCAATTGATCTTTAGCATCTCACTTGCAAGCTAATTCTTTGCCCATTCACAAGAGTACGCCATGAAAGCCCCCACCCAGGAGCAAGCATCATGAGCATCATCCGGTGACCGCTTCCCCGTCCTCTTCTTGCACTTGCAACCGAAGTTCTTCCCGAATCACGAGGCACGCACCATTAGCATCATCAATTAGCATCTCACTTGCAAGCTAATTCTTTGCCAATTCACAAGAGTACGCGATGAAAGCCCCCACCCAGGAGCAAGCATCATGAGCATCATCCGGGTGATGGCTTCCCCGTCCTCTTCTTGCACTTGCAACCGAAGTTCTTCCCCAATCACGAGGCACGCACCATTAGCATCATCAATTAGCATCTCACTTGCAAGCTAATTCTTTGCCAATTCACAAGAGTACGCGATGAAAGCCCCCACCCAGGAGCAAGCATCATGAGCATCATCCGGGTGATGGCTTCCCCGTCCTCTTCTTGCACTTGCAACCGAAGTTCTTCCCCAATCACGAGGCACGCACCATTAGCATCATCAATTAGCATCTCACTTGCAAGCTAATTCTTTGCCAATTCACAAGAGTACGCGATGAAAGCCCCCACCCAGGAGCAAGCATCATGAGCATCATCCGGGTGATAGCTTCCCCGTCCTCTTCTTGCACTTGCAACCGAAGTTCTTCCCCAATCACGAGGCACGCACCATTAGCATCATCAATTGATCTTTAGCATCTCACTTGCAAGCTAATTCTTTGCCCATTCACAAGAGTACGCCATGAAAGCCCCCACCCAGGAGCAAGCATCATGAGCATCATCCGGTGACCGCTTCCCCGTCCTCTTCTTGCACTTGCAACCGAAGTTCTTCCCGAATCACGAGGCACGCACCATTAGCATCATCAATTAGCATCTCACTTGCAAGCTAATTCTTTGCCAATTCACAAGAGTACGCGATGAAAGCCCCACCCAGGAGCAAGATACTGAGCATCATCCGTTGACCCGCTTCCCCGTCCTCTTCTTGCACTTGCACACCGAAGTTCTTCCCGATCATCACGACGCACGCAAACGAATTAGCATCATCAATTAGCATCCTCACTTGCAAGCTAATTCTTTTCAATGCCCATCAGTAACGCGATGAAGCCCCCACCAGGGGCAAGCATCAGAGAACATCCGGGTGATGCTTCCCCGTCCTCTTCTTGCCCTTGCAACCGCAGTTCGTCCCGAATCACGAAGGCACGCAAACCATTACTCATCAATTACGCATCTCCTTGGCAGCTATTCTTTTCCAATTCACAAGAGTAACGCGATGAAAGCCCCCACCCAGGAGCAAGCATCATGAGCATCATCCGGTGACCGCTTCTCCGTCCTCTTCTTGCACTTGCAACCGAAGTTCTTCCCGAATCACGAGGCACGCACCATTAGCATCATCAATTAGCATCTCAGTTGCAAGCTAATTCTTTGCCAATTCACAAGAGTACGCGATGAAAGCCCCCACCCAGCAAGCATCATGAGCATCATCCGGGTGATGGCTTCCCCGTCCTCTTCTTGCACTTGCAACCGAAGCTCTTCCCCAATCACGAGGCACGCATCATTAGCATCATCAATTGATCTTTAGCATCTCACTTGCAAGCTAATTCTTTGCCCATTCACAAGAGTACGCCATGAAAGCCCCCACCCAGGAGCAAGCATCATGAGCATCATCTGGGTGACGGCTTCCCCGTCCTCTTCTTTCACTAGCAACCGAAGCTCTTCCCCAATCACGAGGCACGCATCATTAGCATCATCAATTAGCATCTCAGTTGAAAGCAAAGTCTTTGCCAATTCACAAGAGTACGCGATGAAAGCCCCCACCCAGGAGCAAGCATCATGAGTGACGGCTTCGCCGTCCTCTTCTTGCACTTGCAACCGAAGTTCTTCCCCAATCACGAGGCACGCATCATTAGCAACATCAATTGATCTGTAGCATCTCACTTGCAAGCCAATTCTTTGCCCAATTAAGAGTACGCGATGAAAGCCCCCACCCAGCAAGCATCATGAGCATCATCCGGGTGATAGCTTCCCCGTCCTCTTCTTTCACTTGCAACCGAAGTTCTTCCCCAATCACGAGGCACGCATCATTAGCATCATCAATTGATCTTTAGCATCTCACTTGCAAGCTAATTCTTTGCCAATTCACAAGAGTACGCGATGAAAGCCCCCACCCAGGAGCAAGCATCATGAGCATCATCCGGGTGATGGCTTCCCCGTCCTCTTCTTGCACTTGCAACCGAAGTTCTTCCCGAATCACGAGGCACGCACCATTAGCATCATCAATTAGCATCTCACTTGCAAGCTAATTCTTTGCCAATTCACAAGAGTACGCGATGAAAGCCCCCACCCAGGAGCAAGCATCATGAGCATCATCCGGTGACCGCTTCTCCGTCCTCTTCTTGCACTTGCAACCGAAGTTCTTCCCGAATCACGAGGCACGCACCATTAGCATCATCAATTAGCATCTCAGTTGCAAGCTAATTCTTTGCCAATTCACAAGAGTACGCGATGAAAGCCCCCACCCAGCAAGCATCATGAGCATCATCCGGGTGATGGCTTCCCCCTCCTCTTCTTGCACTTGCAACCGAAGTTCTTCCCCAATCACGAGGCACGCATCATTAGCATCATCAATTGATCTTTAGCATCTCACTTGCAAGCTAATTCTTTGCCCATTCACAAGAGTACGCCATGAAAGCCCCCACCCAGGAGCAAGCATCATGAGCATCATCTGGGTGACGGCTTCCCCGTCCTCTTCTTTCACTAGCAACCGAAGCTCTTCCCCAATCACGAGGCACGCATCATTAGCATCATCAATTAGCATCTCAGTTGAAAGCAAAGTCTTTGCCAATTCACAAGAGTACGCGATGAAAGCCCCCACCCAGGAGCAAGCATCATGAGTGACGGCTTCGCCGTCCTCTTCTTGCACTTGCAACCGAAGTTCTTCCCCAATCACGAGGCACGCATCATTAGCAACATCAATTGATCTGTAGCATCTCACTTGCAAGCCAATTCTTTGCCCAATTAAGAGTACGCGATGAAAGCCCCCACCCAGCAAGCATCATGAGCATCATCCGGGTGATAGCTTCCCCGTCCTCTTCTTTCACTTGCAACCGAAGTTCTTCCCCAATCACGAGGCACGCATCATTAGCATCATCAATTGATCTTTAGCATCTCACTTGCAAGCTAATTCTTTGCCAATTCACAAGAGTACGCGATGAAAGCCCCCACCCAGGAGCAAGCATCATGAGCATCATCCGGGTGATGGCTTCCCCGTCCTCTTCTTGCACTTGCAACCGAAGTTCTTCCCCAATCACGAGGCACACACCATTAGCATCATCAATTAGCATCTCACTTGCAAGCTAATTCTTTGCCAATTCACAAGAGTACGCGATGAAAGCCCCCACCCAGGAGCAAGCATCATGAGCATCATCCGGGTGATGGCTTCCCCGTCCTCTTCTTGCACTTGCAACCGAAGTTCTTCCCCAATCACGAGGCACGCACCATTAGCATCATCAATTAGCATCTCACTTGCAAGCTAATTCTTTGCCAATTCACAAGAGTACGCGATGAAAGCCCCCACCCAGGAGCAAGCATCATGAGCATCATCCGGGTGATGGCTTCCCCGTCCTCTTCTTGCACTTGCAACCGAAGTTCTTCCCCAATCACGAGGCACGCACCATTAGCATCATCAATTAGCATCTCACTTGCAAGCTAATTCTTTGCCAATTCACAAGAGTACGCGATGAAAGCCCCCACCCAGGAGCAAGCATCATGAGCATCATCCGGGTGATGGCTTCCCCGTCCTCTTCTTGCACTTGCAACCGAAGTTCTTCCCCAATCACGAGGCACGCACCATTAGCATCATCAATTAGCATCTCAGTTGCAAGCTAATTCTTTGCCAATTCACAAGAGTACGCGATGAAAGCCCCCACCCAGGAGCAAGCATCATGAGCATCATCCGGGTGATGGCTTCCCCGTCCTCTTCTTGCACTTGCAACCGAAGTTCTTCCCCAATCACGAGGCACACACCATTAGCATCATCAATTGATCTTTAGCATCTCACTTGCAAGCTAATTCTTTGCCAATTCACAAGAGTACGCGATGAAAGCCCCCACCCAGGAGCAAGCATCATGAGCATCATCCGGGTGATGGCTTCCCCGTCCTCTTCTTCTGCAGCCTTGCACTTGCAAATGAATGTCTTCCCGAATCACAAGAGTTTTGCAACCTCTAGACCTCTGCCGGAGGCAGGCCACGGCGTCTTTCCACGCTCGTGCTCCAAAGTCACAAGCAGGAAACTGAATAGGCGCAGGGAGCATTATTTGCGTAATCTTGCTGCAGGATCCTCTTCACAGGTAGGAAGGTGATGGTCTTGGTTTCGTAGCAGACAAGGGACACCCCCTTATGCTTGCTGGCGAGAAGTCAGCAGCTCTCACTCTGAGACCTGGGACTTTTTCTTGGCATTCCGAGCGTCTGCTGGGAAGCCATAGCCTTCGCCTGCCAGCATCTCGGGCGCCTCCGGCTCCGAACGCGGAAGCTTTTCGGAGATAAAAAGTCTGGGTAAGAGCCGGGCCATGTAGGATCTCGACCCTCGGGCCTGGAGAAAAGGAGCACAGAACGAAGCGCAGCAAAGCGAAGGAGGACGGCAGAAAGAAGGAATCCGGGCATCCCGGCGCGAGTCAGCGGACCATCGTTGGGGGTGATGTACACGGCCTCGGAAGAAGTGCAGCGCAGCGGCCACGCGAAGGCAAGACCACCAAAAAGGGTAGCGGAGGGAGCGGCGGGGCCAGCGGGGCTCGGGGCGGGGAGAGCGCGGCGCGGCAGGGCGGCAGAGGGTCTTCTTTCTGAGCAGCGGCACCAACCCGAAATCCGCCAGCTTCAGCGTCCTCTACAAAGAAGCTCACCGAGCTCTGCAGCTCTTCTCTCTGCGTTACCGTCCTCCCATCGGAACCGCCGTACAAGGCGTTCTCAGCCTGGCAAAGAGCAGAGCTCTCTTCAGCGGGCTTTTGCGCAGCAGGTGCCGGTGCGCATCGCAGGTGGGCCTTGATGTCGCTGTGCAGAACCCTGTGGATGAAACGCACTCTCACAAGGGGGCCCAGACCAGACTCAAAAACAACATGGCGTTCCCAATCTGTGGGCTGCTGGCCGGTGGGTGTGCAGGTGCTGGAGGCCGGCGACGAGCTGAAAAAGGTCGCCTCACAAACAGCCCAGCGACAAGATCCTTAGCTCTTTGCCCATCCTCCGACGTCTCTCGAAGCCAAAACAACATCTTGCCACGAACCAAACGAACCCCGATCCAAACGCTGGGCAAAGACTTGCCCACCAAGGCCCCGCACCTATCCGAGCACCTGAGCCTAAGCCCCCATACCCCCGTCGCCATCCGTCGCCTGTCAGCTGATCCCAATGCCATTTGGGATTGTCGATCAGCCGATCAAACCTCAGGTCTCAGGCGACACTTCGCCAAAAATCCTGCTTCCCCAAACCTTCTCCGGGCATCGCGCAGAGAGCAGTCGCAGGCTTCCATGACCATGTAATAGATGTCGGCCTCTTGGCACCTTTCGAAGGCCGCGGTTGCTCTGGGTGTGCCATAACTTGCAACCGAGGCAGAGACATCTGCACGAAGTGGACCACATTGCGGTGGGTAGCACAGAGCTTCCAGATCTCGGCGTTCGGATGCTCGGCTGCTAGGGTGCTGCCATTGCGAATCTACAGCCCGGTAAGACCACACAACCCAAACCTATCTTGAAGCATGTACCCAAAGACACAGCGGCAATCCATATCAGATTTCGTCGGAACCGAGGCCATGACTTTGGCCTGGCAGTGTTTGGGGCGTGGGGCGTGAGGGATCCGCGCGATTAAGGGGTTTGGCTATTGGGAGAAACAGCACACATGAACGTGCTCGTCACTCCTTCAGACCGGTCTCAAGCCTATTTGCTACCTGTCTGTGAGAGGACAATCCGTGCGGCATGGGCGCTTCGCTCGCCTAGCCTCATGCTGGATCTTTTGAGCCGCCGTTCGCCGGGATGTCTGAACCTGAGAACGCCGGAAGTTTACAGCTCAGAGATATCTACGGCACCTACTAGTAATACTAGTTACTACTAGTAGCGCTGCTAGTGTGTTCAACATTGGCCGCTTGTTGCAATCCCAGAGTTGACCTGCAACACGGCTTCACGCAGCCCCTCCCCCACTGTGTTCTCAAGCACTTCGACAAGTGGCAGTTTTCCACTCGTATTCCTCCTCTGTCACTTCGATTACTCCTGTTAGCGATCGTGCTCCGTCGTACGCATACTGTCATTTGGGTCTACCAGTCTATCGATCTGCCCATCTATCCATCTATACCTACTTACTTCTATATATATATATATGTATATATACACATGTGCATACATACGTAGGCATATACATACGTACGTAAGTACAGACATACATACATACTTACATACATACATTTTTACTTACTTAGATAGATAGGGTATGCATGTTTGCACACACCGCACACGCACACATCTACATACATTTGTAATATGTAAATATTTATCTAAATATGTGTATACATGTACAGTCATGCGCACATACATGCATACATACATACATACGTGTGCATGTATGTTTAATTTTTCTTTCGATCATGCCAACTCTTACTCTGGCAATTGAAACTCCAGTGATTGCATCTGCTCTTCGTTTGCGAGTCTCGTGGTTCTTGCAACTCTGCGTCTTCATGCGCTGTTGTCGCTTAGTCTAGAAATATGCAACACATTATATTGGTGTGGTCGGAAGGTCCTTCCGAGAGTTGTGAGTCTCGCCTAAACGTCGTGCTGGTGTCGTGATCAACACCGGCCCTCAAGCGGCCGACACGAGTATCTACTAGGCTACTAGTACGACTCAATATCTAAAGACTGGAGGATGCGAGTGATAGTCCGTCAACAGCCGGCCTTCACTGCGTAGCTGGCCTGCGAGTAGAGAGCCTTCCAAAGTTGCCAAGAACCGCAGAACTCTAAAGCCTTCGGGCTGCTGTTTTGGGGCTCCTAGCACTGGCACCCCCTTTGGGGCCCGCGCCTTTGCCAAGAACACGCAGCCGTAAGAGCCCTTGCCCAACGCCGTGCCAAGCCTCGATGAGTTTTGCTCCGCAGAGTCCGTAAGCGCTTCCCTAACTCGGGCCAAGAAGCTGGTAGCTGCTGTAGAAGCTAGCAAATTCCTCCCAGGACGGCTTCGGATCTGGACACGTCGTGATGATGCACATCCCTGGGAGTTTGCAAATCCCAGGTCCGTCCTCTCTTAGGCCTGGCAAGAGGAATCGGATTGCTCCCATCCGTTTCAGTGACATGGTGTCAAAGCTTCAGCTTTCAGTGCCTACAGAGGCACCGCAGCCCATGCCAACGCAATCCTGGGAGAACACAGAGCAACCGAAACTGAAGCCATGAGACAAGAAAGCAGAACGAGTGCGGACGGGTAGATGGTAGACTTCGTGATGCGATCACGAGCCGGCCACTCACATGTAATTACAAGTAGCACAGTTAGTACAATGTTCGCTGTCAGCTAGACAATTAAGCCCTCAGCCCTAGCATTAGCCAGTGAAGTAGCTACGGTCGAGCTGCTGGAAAAACGAGTCAAGAGTTTCTGCTAAACCCTAAACTTCTAAAATCCATCTGAAGTCTTTTAAAGACGTAACCGTTGTTGACTCTAGCCTTGGCTAGGCCCTTATTGACTTGACTTTGGCTGGTTTTTCATCCTTGGAGGATTTTATCGGCCGGCTTGTGGATCGCCTCCTTATTCTGTCAGTCACTGAAAGTGAATGGGAAGGGGGGAGTGCGGTTTCATCAGGGATTGTACAAGTGTAGGGGAAGGCGTGTTGGAATGCAAGCCCGTTCGCTCCTGTTCTAAACATCGATGATTCACCGTGCATACTAGACCCATTCTATGCAAGGCTTCCACTCACCTGGCATTCCGCAGAGACACGAGGGGCCAAGACAGCAAAGTGGGCTCGGAATCCACGGTGTTCAACGGTGGCTGACAAGACCCTTCTGAAAGGTGCAAGTGCCAGCATTGCCAGCCAAGCCACGGAGCATTTATTGCGGTTGTGCTGGCATCTGGCCCTTAAGGCTCCATGCACAGCACGCTGGGCCCGCGCAGCTGCGGCGAAAGAAGGGCGAGAACTTCAGGCAGCATGAACCCTTCCATTGCCCTTCAGAGCTTCGGAGCTGTTCCTAATGGCTGCGCAGACATCGCAGGTTTTTCTGCTTGGCGGTCTTCCGCCGGCACTGTACAGTGCCGTCTCTGTGCAGCCAGCTCGGCCGGCGCACACAAGGAGAGAGCTCGAGAGTGATCGAGAGTGATCGAGGAGTCTGGGTTTCAGGGTTCTGGGTTTAGCGGGCCCAGGGATGTGAGAGAGAGAGAGGCGAGGAGCACGAACACTCCTCCCAGACCCTTGTGCTAGCGAGAGGTGTCCAAGCAATGCGAAACCCTCTCAGATGAGCTCATCATCATCATTACCTGGCCTCTCCGCCCCCAAGCTTTTGGCCACTTCGTGCCATCGCCTTTCAGGCCTTTCAGGGCCTCGACGCGGAGCCGGAGCCCTCCGTGGAGCGGCTCGGCTTCCCTGCTGCAGGCCTACGGCCTACGTCGTCACACTCCTGGACGGGGCTTTGGGGCCACTTTGGGGATCTTCGGTCAGGCTTTGGGGCTTGAGGGGAGGAGCTGTCGGTTTCGGCTTTCTGCTTAGGCCGTCGAGCTGCGGGCTTCGCGCTTTTTTGGCCCAGGGACAGGGATGCTCAGGGCTCCAGGATTTGCGAATTCGAGGCTCAGTCGAAGCTTCTGATCATGTCTGATCCAACCAGTACCCAGTGGATCAGCTGAGATCATCTTAACATGGAAAGCCGCCCAGAATTCGGCTCTTGCCAGGAAACACCGGCTATGCGCAAAACACATGCCTGCATCATCCAACAGCAGCTAGGTGAGCAGGGATCCCACGAACTCCAGCCCCGCGGCCCTAGGCCCTACTCATTCGCCCCAACCCGAAAAGGGACAGCCCCCCGTTGTCCGAGACAAAGAACTCCTGCCTGGGCCTTCGGGAGCGCATCGACGAGGCGCACCTCTGGCACCTGGGCTCCAAAACGCACCGAAGCATCCGGGGGCGTCTTGCGACGGTGCTCTGCGATGATGGTGATGATGCTGAGGAGGATGAGGACGATGAGTTCAGCAAAAAGAAGTCTTGCAAGAAACCCAGAAGGGTGAAGACCCGAAGTGATCACAAAGCCTCAAAGGAGGGGACCCTTTTCTGAGCCCATGGCCTTGCCGAGCAAAGCCTCGGCGACTTCGGGCGCCGCCTGGCCGCGAAAAAGCCGGAGCCCAGCGGCGCTTTGGGGGGGCCCGGCCCTTCTGGGCTTCGAGAGCTCGGGAATGCTCGGGAGCTTGGGCTCCGGCCCGGCGGCCCGGCGGCCCGGCGGCGAGCAGCACCCGCTGCAGAACCACTGCTGAAGCGAACGAAGCCCAAGGAGTTGCGCCCCCTCTGTGCCTCGAGGTGAAGGTCCGGCTGCAGCTGTCTCACCATGGAGGCCCGGCCTTCGCAAAACGCGCTCAGAAGGGGCTGGTTTGCTGACGTGAAGTGACCGGCGGTAGAAAGCCACCTGTGGCTCCCGACCCTCGCAGGTGCTCGAGAACATCAGCCGATGCCTGCGGCGTTCAGAGCGTGAAGATTGAAAATGAAGCGGGCTTCACGGCTGCAGGAAGAACCGCTCCCTCGTGACATTCGACACCCCCGTGCTGTTCGGGTGTTCGGCCTCCTAAGGCCGGTGGCGAAGGCACCGAAAGCTTCCAGGCTCTCAGACACCTCCAAGAGTGAAAGAACGGGGTTTGGGCCGCTTTTTCGGAGAGCAGCTTCCCGAGTCTGGGCTCCGAAAGAGGGGGCCTCCTGCTCCTTGGCATCGCTGTCTGCCAGCGCGATTGGGAAAACCTGGTTCCAGGAACCCCCCGCCCCGCCGGCCCCAAAACAGGTGGTGGTCTTTGGTAGACAGATGCAATGCGATACTTCGCTTCATAACCGAAAACTCTGCGTCGATTAAAGCTCTTCTGAGGCCTCGCAGCTCTGGCAGAGCTCCAAGAAGTTGGCAACCTTGAGGCCGGTGCACAGGCACAGGAAGGCACAGGACGGCCCTCGTTGCCTCCCTGGCTTCCCCTTCTCTTCTCAGCACTTCTCATCGGGAGCGACCTTCCTAGGGCGCCGGCGGCCGTCCCGTTGTCCTGGCAAAAAGAGAAAAACGACGCTGCAGTGTGCTAGCAGACACACACAGAGACAAAGACAGAGACAGAAACGCTCTCTCTTTGAAGGAGAGGCCTCGGCTGCTGCTCATCCCCCCCCCGGGCCTGAAGAGCCAGCAGGAGGCCGTCCAGGGAGACGCTCACCCGCTTGCGCTGCCGCCTCGGCCGCTCGATCGCTCCTTCCCCGAAAGCGGGACACCACACTTCCCGGCTCTCGGGAGCAGGCTCTTGCCGAGGCTTCGAGGAGGGCTCGCCTTGCGGAAGCAAACAGAAAAGGAGAAAAGGAGTGCCGTCCCCGTCCGCGCGGGGCACCGCTGCTCTTCTTCGGGGCACGGTTCGAGACGAGGAAGAAGAGAGCACAGACCTTCGCGCGATGTTTCGAGCCCGGGCAGCCGAGACAGGCGAAGTCAGGCCCCGTGCTATCGCGATGACGGTCCAGATGATGTAGGGCGCATTCCTCTCAGCATCTCTGGGCTTTTTTCCATTCGTTCAATGCGGAAGCGGAGGCACCCAGGGTGTGCTCTGGTCCTTTTGCTGATGTATAAGGAAAAGTCGATTGCCATGGCACCGCTGGCGTCTTGCCACTGGCCGTGGCCAAGCAACTCTACTTTTGGATGCTTGCAGAACGTGTCAGGCGGCACCGACTGTTCACCCAGCTCTCAAGGAAGCTTAAAGCATGGCAGACACGCCTACCATGCATTCATCCCTTTATCCATCTTGTACCTCATTCTCATCTTGAGCCCTCAGCTGCAACGCTTGAGCATGCTCAGCACCCCTCTCAAAGGATCCAATTTGGGCATCCTCACAACATGTGACACAAGTCCTGCAGTCAATAGCACACATGACCAGCAAGCACCTCTCGAACGCCTTAATGTGGCATGGCGAGTCGTGGGTCTCGGAGGAGGATCAAGTGCCCCTTACCCCCCTTGCCCCCGCTTTTCTGAGACAACACCCCGCAATGCAGAGTCAGCTCGACCGTGGTTGCAATGCCAGCCGCCCGTACTTATGCAAGGCACATGCAAGAGCAATACGTCAACAGCGGATGTCTCTACCACGTACACTTGATGCTATAACCCTTGCGCTTTACAGACTAATTCGTATCACGCTTGCCACGCCAGAAATAAATAAATTCGTGTCATGCAGTAAAAACAAAGAGCTGCATGATATGAACTTGATACGAGTACGAACATTGCCATGACACGAACCATGACACGAACCACAGGACGTTATGCTAGGAACTTCAGTTAAGAACGGCCGCATCAGCATCACAATGCGCTTTGGCTCGTATCATAACCCGTATCATGCACAAGGCATACTATGCTCGCGTCGAGTTTAGTTCGGAGCATGGTGTACGCACACTTTCCGTTGCGGTAGTCGTCCTTAATACGAGCTGGCCGGTACAGTGAAATGACATAGTTCCGACAGTTTCGCTCGTTCAAGAGTTCCTGTAACCACGTGTTGTTCGCCGCAGTGACGTCATTTTGTGGCATGCACTATGCGGTCTTACAAGCGGCTGACCGGCGTTGCAAAACAAACTTGTGTAGCTTGAACGAAGATACGTGGAATCAACGTGAGCACAAGCGGAGAAGCCTGTAAACAACAGCAAATATCGAAAAGGTGCCGCCATTGCATCCAAAAATATCGATAACAACGTCGACATTCTATATCTTCACTCCGTCTTCAAGGCACCTGTTCACCCATAACCAAAAAGTCGAACTGTCTTGGATGCAGGTTCTGTCTCTCGGCTTCTTTTAGGGGGATGAAAGCCTGCTCAGCGAACCCGCCAACGTGAGTTCAACGTCGATGCAGCCATTTATTCCTCACTTGCGCTGCTTATCATGTCCCATTCGCAACATATGTGACAACATCATCACCAACATCATCGGAATCTTGTCATTGACACCTCCAGCACGTCTATTCTCATCATCATCGTCATCATCACCGTTGGAATCCACGCCACTGCCAACATGTTTTTATCATCCTACC